CTGTCAAATAGATGACCGAATTTCTGAAAAAAATATTCGTTTTGGGAGTAACGAAATTCAGCAACAGTTCCCTTACCTGTTCGATGTTTTTCCCTTGTGACAAAATGCTCTTTAATTCATCATCCTTTACATTAAACTGGCCTGCGCATTCCTTTTGTCTGCGTAAGGTTTGCAATGAAGGAGGAGCGACAAGGAGTATGAATGGCATAATTTCAGCTGTTCGAACGGCGATAAGAGACTGCAAAATGTGGAAATCCTGGCTACGTTAATAAGAACTTTGACTAAACCATCAACCTCCGCTTTGAGCGTCAAAACGCAAGTTTTCGACCTTCGGATAACATTAATAATGTCGGCTACGGCTGTGCCATACATATGCTTCTCGAACTCGCCGTATTCGACAAACTTCCCTGCCTGAATAGACAAATAATTTACCCTCAGAGTTCCCATTCTCTCTTCACTACCTTCGCATCATCGAGAAATTGCTGTTTTGAGATAAAGTGATAATGGATCCCATCAAGTTCTCCATCTTTTGGTGGTCGAGTGGTGTCTGCAGTGAGTATTCTTCCTTTGTTTTAACATTGCATTTCCTATTAAATCTTACAAGGTACAGGTCCAGCAAGGCGATCTCGATCTGATTCCAGGAGTCGTTGCCGCAGTTGCAGACAACCAACACCTTCCGGACCGCATAGGACCAATGTTCTTTTCCTGTCGGTGCGAGCAAGATGGAGTACCACTTCTTCATATGTTAGCAGGTCTAAATGAGAGAACAGAGAATCATGGTGCTATGTGTTACTCTACAATCGAAAAGTCCTTGAGGTATGTTCTCATGACCTGCTATTTGCTTTGATAGAAAATTTACAGTATTTCTAGTGTTTTGATCAAGATAATTTTACATCCGTCGAGCTCTTCAATGAATGAACTTCAAACAGTTGTTTTACTTCGTAGCATTTGTTCAACATGTTGTTAGTTAGAAGATTTTACGACAGCTAAGCAAATTTTTTACTAGGAATCTTCCTTGTTTCTCTGAAAAACCACGGAATCACAAAGTGGTAAAAAATGCTCAAATTGCAAATGAAATTTTATCCCTTTCCAACAGCAAGGTGGAAAACATGAGGCTTTTCTTGATGAACTCACAGACGAGACAACTAGTAATAAAACTATAGTTAGTTTTATGAGATGATAATATCCAGAGCAATTTTACTGCATTTTCCGAGTCCTACAAAGTTGCTAACATACGGCGATTGGTTAAGCCTACTTCCACTTAGTTTTGCAGTTTAAAAGTGAAAGGAAACTATGAATTTTGTAAGACCATTTACTTAAAAAAAAGTAACCAGTCTGACCTGAGTGGTAGCCGACGCTGTTGGCGATAGGCTCATCCGCACTTCGCTGAACTTCTTTGGAAGATTTGCGGCCTAGTGTACGAATCACCTAAACCTTCACGTAATCGCTCATTTCTTTGTATACTAAGCCGGACTAACTTCTTGTAGTCGCTTTTTCGACTCCGTTCGACATTTCGGTTTCGTGTCTCTGTCCATTTCATCCATATACATTACCACCCTAAATTTAGATCGTACTCAGTTGGGAGTATTGAAAAAGAAGCTGAAAATAACGATAACAGGATACGACGTACTGTTGATGAAAACTCGAACTCGGTATGAGTCCTGCTAATGACTGTGATGTGTCCTCTCCTTCTCTATAAGCTTGCCACCAATTCTCATCTTCCGTGCTTAACACATGCAAAATGTCTCCACGTTGGAATTTCAGTGCCAACTCTTTACATGGCACATAAATGTCATCCTAAAGTTGTATTATTAGAGGTTGCTAAACTATTGCTTTATTCCTATGACTACAGATTGGATAAAACTTATTGCCAAAAAGAGTAGATTGTGATCTCAATTAATTCATCTCCCCCTCCCCCTCTCCTCCCCCATATAAATATACATGGGTGCAACATTATTAAGTATATTGCAATATCTTCCAAGAATGCATCAGAATATAATTGACTTTTTTTCATTTTTTTTAAATGTATGAATTCAAAATTATTGCTTATGAAACTTACTTCAGGATCATAATCGAATAGTGCTCGCATGTATTTCACCCTTGATGAAGGTGGTGTTTTCTTAAGCTGCTCTTGGACCGGAGATGAGACCACGAATCGGATGTCTCCGGAGATGGAACGCTACAAGAAACATATTCATGCAGAACTCAATAATTTTATAATAAAAAGATTTGAGTCGTCGGCCAGGTCTGATTCGTCATTTTGTCCCAAAAATTTATGTAGCTATTTATACACTAGAGCTTAGCGAAGAACGGGTGAAGCGAAATTTCATTTGTTCTGCGAAAAGCTATTATATGAGAAGGATTGGATAT